TCGTTTCGCACCGACCAATTCACCGCCGTCGTTTCGCACCGACCAATTCACCGCCGTCGTTTCGCACCGACCAATTCACCGCCGTCGTTTCGCACCGACCAATTCACCGCCGTCGTTTCGCACCGACCAATTCACCGCCGTCGTTTCGCACCGACCAATTCACCGCCGTCGTTGATTTTTAAGAAATTATTTAAACGAAAGTAAGCGACATGGATGAGATTATCAAAATATTGAAGTTTTAAGAGCATTTTATCTACGTAAACGTCAAAGTTTGTTTTTGTTTGTAGGTTGTTTGTTAGTTCCACATGATTGACTAAGTCACGGGTGGTCAAACTTTTTGTGCAGAGGGCTAAATTGACAATTGTAAAGCTGTTTTTGGGGGGGGGGGGCGCATGTACAATAAGTCCATATTATGTCGATAATTATTTCTCTATATTAAAATCTTTAAATCGCATTTAAGCATTACTTGAAAAAAGTCAAGGATTGTTTTTAAAAAAAAAAATAGAAGGACATGTGATCAAAAATGTTAAAACAATTATAACGGTAGATAAAATTCTGTAAAATTCCACAAAATAACTTAAAAACCAAGTGTATTTAAAAATTTCTAAATGCCTTCTAGGGCCGAATAATATCAGATGCCGGGCCGCTGTTCGTCCACCCCTGGCCTAAGTGGATGTATTGATATGGACTAAACGTTTTATTATTTTTTTTTAAATGTTATTTTCTTAAATGAAATTCAATTAGGGGGGTATTTTTTTAGTGAATGAACCTGAGCACAGATCCCCTGTCTGTTTATCTTCTTAATCCACTACCACATTGCGTGTTGACCTGACCTCACTTGTGTCACCCGACTCTCGAATCTACAGGGCGGGTCACATAGAGCCGGCTCACATTCGATATCTTTTGAAAAACCATTCAAGTTAAACAGCCGATCACTAACGCGTCACACTTCCGATGACACAGAGGCATACCGATGTCTTTGTAGAAATCTATTTAAATTCAATATATGTCAGTTCTTAATCTTCAACATTGTTTAGCTTAACCTCAAAATTGATACGACCACTTTTGAATGTCAATAATTTTGTTTGTGTTTGTCAAGGACACGGCCGGTGGTGAAAGGACACTGCCGGTGGTGCAAGGACACGGCCGGTGGTGAAAGGACACGGCACACCGAAGTGGAGTCTGCGAAATGGCGTCTGGGAATTGTCCTATCCCCCCTAGAAGTTGCGCCCCACCTTATTTTTACCCCTGGAATCTATATAGTAATACTAAATAATAAACATTAATGGAAAATGACATATTTGTCAGCTCAAGAAGAATCAGATCACCTTAATTATTATCAAGGGTGGTTTTTGTTTATTTTATTTCATGAACGACTTATTTGTGTTGCATATTGTACTACTCCGTGTTTTTTTTTAAATTTTATTTCATGAACGACTTATTTGTGTTGCATATTGTACCCGTCCTGCCGTGAAAGATATTTTTGAATTGTTTCAATAGAAAATAAGTGAATGTCATATTAATAATGAATGTGGTGTCTGTAACGCTACAGATGTGGTCGCAAAAATCGCAAAGGAATGTTCTACAAATTGAGTTTAAAAATTCTCAACCAGAAAAATAACGTATCCAATGGTTGACTAATCCTTGGAGGAGCGCGTCCATGGACATTGTCAACGATTCCTTGGAGGAGAGCGTCCATGGACATTGTCAACGATTCCCTGGAGGAGAGCGTCCATGGACATTGTCAACGATTTCCTGGAGGAGAGCGTCCATGGACATTGTCAACGATTCCTTGGAGGAGAGCGTCCATGGACATTTTCAACGATTCCCTGGAGGAGAGCGTCCATGGACATTGTCAACGATTCCCTGGAGGAGAGCGTCCATGAACATTGTCATCGATTCCCTGGAGGAGAGCGTCCATGGACATTGTCAACGATTCCCTGGAGGAGAGCGCCAATGAACATTCCCCACTTGCACTCTGGGACTTAACAAATGATAATCTTGAAAAAAAATATTTTTTTCCTATCTTACACGATTGCTTTTTAAGCCAAGCATGCAAGCACCTGCTTATTGCATAGAAGATCTTACCGACTCTGTCATCAAAATATAGGAACAATAATGTCATTTCTGTGATATATACTAAAAAAAAACCAAAAAAAACGACCCCATCCCCACGCCAAAACATTATAGATATATAAATAAATGTTTAAAATATTGGCCGCTTGACATGCCATTCCACCACTGGGAGGGGGTCCAAGTGTTTCCTCGCACAGAAATGGTCGAAACAGAAGAGTTTAAATATATTGGTGATTCAACCCCTTTGTGACATTGTTGTACGGCTTTTTTTCTACTAAATTCTAAATGTATGCCTTTCGGTTTTTATCATTGAGTCAAACAACATAAACAATAAAAACGTGTTCAGTCATTTTAGAATTATTATTGTTATGATTTTACTTATGTTCATGAAACAGATTTTTATTTGCACACAAATGATTATCAAAAGAAAAATTATGACCCCTAAACAAATCAACTATACTGACAGTAGGACTCGTTTTTTGTAAGTTGTTGGGTATGGCATGAGTCATCAAACTGTCAAATGTACATGTGCAGTATCGGTAGTATTTAAATGTTCAAATGTGTAAAAAAGGGGGGGGGGGAAACAAAAAACGTTGAGCCCATTGTGCCAGAAACAGCTATGTATAGTAAAAATATGCGGTCACTGTCCGTGGCACCAGGGCGTATTTAACCTTGAGCCTGACCCAGTGCGCAGAGAAACCATCGGGGAATACGAAGTACTGGTACGGTTCGTTAGATGATAAGGATAAGAATACATACGGCAACCTCATCCAATTTTCGTTCAATCTGTGGCCTGAAAAGAAAGTACGATAAGGTCATTTATTTACAAATATATGAACATCAAAAGTTTAAAATGAACTCAAACTACTAACATAAGTGAATGCTATTTAAAAAAAAAAAAGTTAAATCTCTATCCCGGCCTGTGAAAGGGTGAATAATTGTGGTACTCTAAAACTTCAAGGACATAGCTCTTTTGAAAGAGTGAATAATTGTGGTATTCCAAAACGTCAATGACAGTACTCTATTGAGAGAGTGAATAATTGTGGTATTCCAAAACGTCAATGACAGTACTCTATTGAAAGAGTGAATAATTGTGGTATTTCAAAACTTCAAACACAGAACTCTATTGAAAGGGATAATAAATACGCGAAAGGCTATACTTTTTTTTCTTCTGGATATTGCGACTGAGGTGAGCACTGGCTGGTCTCAATCATTCGTTGCATACGTGACATAACACAGTGGTTTATTTTTAATGTGCCCATGTGAGAATAATTAAGCTTGATTTAAAATTTCAAGCGGCAATAGATGTAATTAATATTGGGCAGAGTGTACTGTTGGGCAGAGTGTAATATTGGACAGAGTGTAATATTGGGCAGAGTATACTATTGGGCAGAGTGTAATATAGGGCATAATGTAATATTGGGCAGAGGGTTATATTGGGCATAGTGTAATATTGGGCAGAGGAGACTATTGGACAGATTGTAATATTGGGCAGAGTATACTATTGGGCAGAGTGTAATATAGGGCATAATGTAATATTGGGCAGAGGGTTATATTGGGCATAGTGTAATATTGGGCAGAGGAGACTATTGGACAGATTTTAATATTGGGCAGAGTGTAAAGTAAATAAAATGGTTAGGATACTGATTTTATTGAATATTAAGTTTCGGTTTAAAAATTGATTCACCTGCTGCGCCAGTGATGTCCACCTGCACTGTTAAAGTAATCGTGTCAGTGATGTTGTCATTGAGCACGACGTGCAGAATTTTCTTGTCAAACCCGGTCATGAGGTAAGGGTCAGACACATTTCCTTGTTGTACGATATCCTCTCTCCAGACAGCACCCCAGCCCTGAAGTGGTCAATAACAGTCAATACAATAGGTAATATATGAAAAATATTAAAGCAGTAGTCGATCGATTTATAAACGTATTAATATCAGTAGCTGTGGAGTGGCCAGCACTTCTTCACATGCAAGGAGAGCCCCGATGTGACAAACTCGGAAACATCTTATTCTCTCGATTCTTTTCGCTTTAAAGGAGTGCAGCGAGTAAATGGTGGATACATGGACTTCAATTCTGATGGCAAACTGTTAAGCATCACCGGCCTCGATGTTAAATTGTAAACGTTTCTCATTCATGGACTATGCACTCTTCAACATTCGCGCTGAAAATGGGATACAACAGCTAGTAAGTCGCCCCTCTCCCACCCACATGAAGCTGGTATTGACCATAAGTCTTAAGAAGACAAGTAAGTCATCGCGCATGCAGTACTGTCCCGTTTAACCATATCAATCCATGTGTATGGGTCTGCAGCCTCTAGCTGAGTCTCCGTTGATTGAGATGTTGAAGACTCAATCGCCGAATCGGGTGCAATGACCATGGTAAGAGTAATAAACAAGGTGGGTCTGTAACCAATCAAGACTTACAGAGAGTGTCAGACTGGTGGTCTACCATTCATTCGTTTTCAGTATTCAATATACACAACAGGATGGTGCAAATAAATTACGCCATCGTATCTCAAGTGGGACAGAGACCAAGGGAATCCTGCATAAAAAAACATAAATGTATTTGTCACTAGCCAATTCTGAAATGCATTATTGATGTCTTAGCTATAAATATTAATGTAAGCGTAACCATCGATGAAGAGGTTAACCTCATCTCGAGAGCCAGCTCAAACATATGGCAAAACGTGCAATATTGCAAAAGACCAGTAGTGGTATCAGCTCTCAACTAAAAGTCTACAAAGCCGTTGTGCTCCCTACGCCTCTCTGTGAATGTGAAATGTGTACGGTCTGTCAGTGCAATGCAAGAAAATTGAACCACTTTCACGCGGCAAGCTTCAGAAAAATCCAGGTACTCGCACAGGAAGTTTTCCCTACCATCCTAATCATTTTAATGCAGTCCCTGCTTCTCTGGGCGGGGCATTTATTTTGCGAGAATGACGAACGCTTGCACAAAAGGTTATTATGTCTTTGCGAATTCGAGCACGAAAGCCGGTTTGATGTAGCGCATAAGAAACATTAAAAAAACAACCTTAAAATCTCACTGAAAGCGTGCAATATAATTCTTAACACGTGGGGAAGAATCATCAAAGGGTTGAGCATCATGATATTCAACCTTAAGCAAAGGCACCGTACGACATGAAGTCAACAGAACACTGGCCGCAGAGCACGAAAGAAAAGCCAGAAATGCCCGGGTTAACTCTACACCTGGAGATCCTCCATCCCTTGCAACTACTGCACAAGAACATTTCGTGCCAAAAGCGGTAATCTCGGGCACCTGCGGACCCACAGACCGAATCATTCTTATCATCCACCTGTGGACCCACAAACAGAATCTGTCTTATCATCCACCTGCGGACCCGCCGAAAAAATCTGCCTTATCATCCACCTGCGGACCGACAGACAGAATCGTCTTATCATCCATGTGGGGACCCACAAACAGAATCGTTTTTATCATCCACCTGGGGACCTACAGACAGAATCTGTCTTATCATCCACCTGCAGACCCACAGACAGAATCTGCCTTATCATCCACCATCGGACCCACAGACAGAATTAGCCCCTATCAATCCAATGATTGAAAAGGCCTTTTCAATCAATTCCGACTAAATTTAACAATGTCGGCAGAAGGCAACGGATGGATTTTAAATATACATAAAATGAAAGTGAACAACGTGTTCCATTTTATGTTTAATTATGAAATGAGTGCCAAAAAAGTAAGATTATTACCCTTTATGTTTAATTATGAAATGAGTACCAAAAAAAGGAAGGTTATTAACCTTTATGTATAATTATGAAATGAGTACCAAAAAAGTAAGGTTATTACCTTTTATGTTTAATTATGAAATGAGTACCAAAAAAGTAAGATTATTACCCTTTATGTTTAATTATGAAATGAGTAAAACAAAGGAAGGTTATTACCCTTTACGATTAATTACAACGTTCCGGTGGATGAACAGCTGGGACAAATCATTTACCTGAGGTTTGCCAAAGCTCCAGAGATCGTCTGTTTTACCGAACCAGAGACCTGACTGCGCCTGTCCTGTGACGACATTGTTGTCCATTATAGAGGAGACCTGTCGGTGGCAAGGTAGAAATGATTTTTTCAAACAAGCTGGCAGTCTTAAAGTACTGTGATTTAATTTTTAAAAAAGCTTTAAATGTGTTTTCCGACCAATGATATTTTTTTAATGGCACGACTCTTGGCTCAATGAGAATATATCTACAGCCCTTCAAGACTCCTGAGACTTTTCTGTTCACTACGGTCTGAGCTTCGGGTAAAATAGAAAGCAGTGTCGATTTCTTCGTTCTTTCTTCTTTTTTTTGTGTTTTTGTTTGCCAAGAGTATTAAATGGGGCAGTTAACTTGAAACTTTACATCCACAGTGAGTACCCAACGTAGTTTCAGAGCTACATGCTTGATTATCACCCATGTAAAACAAAAACAAATGACTTGATTCCCGCCCCCCTCACTTTCTTTTCCCCAAACCACCTTAAATCGTAAAGCCAAAACGTTTGACTTTATTACGCTCTCCGTCCCCAAATCGTAAAACTTAAACATCAGAATTTTATATCCCCATTCTAAAACCAACACTAAAAAATAGAGATAATCTCCCAAGTCAAGCTCATTTCCTGTCAAGCCTATTTCTCTATCCCCTACAAATGTCACGTGACTCTGGTCCAAACCTGATTCCCTCCTAAGACGAGAAAGCCCCTGAACGACGTAAAGTCCGGGACGACCCGGAGGTGCTGGGAGATGGGCCGTATGCCCCACGTGCTGCCGGCCCAGCCCAGGGGCGATAGCTCGTAGAACATCCCGTGCATGTCCATGAGGTAGCGCTCGGTCTCCACCTCCCTGATCCGAGGCCACTCGGTCTGCCACAGGTGGTCGAAGGCGTGAGACGCCTTGGGAAGCCTGTACGTCTGCCAGTAATTGTACTCTGTGGAATCATATCAACACGCGTTATATATAATATATATATATATATATATATTATATAACTGTAGGGACGCTTATGAGAAGTAACCATTCATTTTCGTTTCTCTAAACGAGTAGCGGCTTTTGCGATCATAGACGAGCCCTGAAAGGATTATACTATATACTCGGAATAGGGGCCTTTTATTTGCGAATTTTTGAAAAATCCCAAACCATTGGAGAAAAATATGTTACTTCTTAGCAATAATTTGTTTTGAAAAATTAGAGTTAGATTAGATTAAAGAACATATAAATTGGATTTTGAGGAACTGATGGGCAATTTGGAGGCATAAATAGACAGTTTTGATTTCAAGAAAATAGTGCAGCTAGACAAATTTAATGAATATTCTTTTTCCAAACAAATTTGTTTTCTCCTTCTAATAAATTCCACCAAAAAAACTAGTATGCGAAAGTTGATAAACGATAGACGCATAGCCCCCAAGCTGCCTTGGATTGGTGCGATTATATAAGTGACCTTGCTTATTACCTGACTCCTCTCCGTCATAAACTTTGAGGATCACCGACCGGAAGTCCCAGCCCAGGGCGTAAATAACCTGGCCAAAGTTGCGACGACCCGTGACCTCCACAAAAGCCGTATCAGAAATGATTGTCCAGCTGGTCCCTGGTCCTTTCCACTCCGCCAACCGACCACCGTGCTGTAAGCTGGGGAAAATATTGTCATCTTTATGTTTTTATAAGTTATTAGTGTGTGTGTGTGTGTTTCTATAGTTCTTAAATTTGGAATTTCGAACAAATTTAATGTCAAAGTGTCAGCATTAGGTGTAAATGCAATTACAAAATCATTGTAATTTTTATAATTACGACCAGCATCATTTAGCCCTCATGGCACGGGCCACAATGCCACAGATGAGTTAAAACTCTGACATTGAACTTTAAACAGGAATGGGGTGGGGCAGAGAGGGACCCAGAAGCAGCTGGCGTAGAGAGGTAGAGAAGGGTGTGCTTAAAATAGGAAAGAGTTGGAACGAGTAAGAGAGTTCTGCAAGAGACCGAATGGCGTAAAGCGGCGTTAAAGATAGTGTTACTGGTCTTTGCTCAACTGGAGCTTGATAAAAGCAAAGAAGAGTAAATCGCAAAGTAGCGTTATCGTTTACCTATTTTACCAGCGTTATCGCATAGAAATTGTACGCCTATTTTACACGTACACAATACTTAATAAATGAATGCCTTCAATATCGTTACAAATGAGGTCTTAGTCACAATTTTAGTCGTGCATTTCACCAGCTCACTTTTTAAAGTCGTTCAGTTCAAACGTGTTGCTGGCCACCACGAGGCGCCCGTTCATGGTGTGGGCCGCCTTGAAGTGGGGCTGCTCTCCTTGCGAGGCGGGGATGTTGAGCGTCTCCACCAGGTCAAACAGCTGAGTGCATGTCAGTGCCACGACGTCGCACTCCCAGAGTGGCCCGTCCATCCCTAGCATGTAAACCTGATGAGTACAGAAGGAAGCGGGTGACAACTCCGATTCTGATGAAGACCGATTTTAGGTTCAGATCTGCAACACGGAATGCTCTGTGTTTCAGTATCTAACAAGGGGTGGTGGATTTTGCAGTTAATAGCACAGGGAGCTGGGTGTTGCAATGTCCAGCACGGAGTGCTGTATGTCTCAATACCTAACAAAATGACAAAGTCTATATTCATTCGGTGAGTACGCGGGTGGCCTGCCAGGCCTATGTGTTACTTGAAGGTCTTACCGCAAGTATGACGCATGCATTTGGATACGAGATGGATTGGAGTCGATTGAGCTTTTCCTTTCTGTGCGCTTCATTTGGACGTGAGTGGGGCGTTTAATCAATGATGATGATTGTGCTTCTGATGGTGAGTCTACCTCGCCAGCATCTACGATCCATAGCAAGTGTTTCACTGCGAGATCAGGTCCATGGATTTTTTTCTGCCCACTACCCCCGACTGAACACATATGGATACCCCCTATGGATGGAAACTACCCAATGGATGGATGCACCCATATGGATGGATGCACCCCTATGGATGGACGGACCCCAATGGATGGATAAACCTCAATGGATGGATGCACACCTATGGATGATATACACCTATGGATACCCACATGTGGATACACACACCTGACCTCAAACCAATGAATACACACACCTGGCAACACACCCCAGAAACCCATGACCTACCATTGTCTCGGGTTTCGTCAGGTGTTCGGCGGTGGCAGCGATTCTGACTTTGAGCAAGTCCTGAAATGTGCGGATCTCGCCGTCCAAGTCGATGACCCAGGCACCGATGACGATCTGGTTGGTCTGTCGGTGGAGAATGCGGTTGGCGAACGTTGAGTTGTGGTCTACCAACTTATACATCTGGAACAGAAACGTACAATACACGTAGGCTGATTAATGCTCATGCAACAAATCAGTGTTCACGAATCATTCTTAACATAGAAATAGAAGCTCATTTGACACATTAAGCGATAATGTAGGTCAGGAGCGAAGCAGAGTTTGGGAAAAATTTTAATGAGGTCTGAAAAATGGTTCTGGTAATGTTTCGTTTCGTTGCTGCATCCACGTTCTGGCATTTTTGCAACGGTTGGGGGTATGATGTTGCTATTCTAATAGCTCCAGGGCAGCCTTGAAGCTTTCGACCGATGTCGAGTTCACAGTGGCATCGTTCAGGTTGTTCCATGCTATTATTGTTCGTGAAAGAAAGATTGTTGATACTGCACTGTGTTGCACTGAGGCACTTTGAAGCATTTGCTATTGTTTCTGGTGTAATTGTTTATGGGAATATCAGTGGTGAAATCAGTGTTCAGTTGGTCTATATTATTTAGATGCAGATAATTCTCAAAACCCAATGATGTGATAATAGTAAATTAATATCTGTAAATATTTTTTTTTTAAAATTAACAGATATACAATATAAGGCGCGTGCATCAAAACTCGATTCAGTTACATGTGTAAAACTGGGATATTTAGATGTTGAGACTATATATAAAACTGGGATATTTAGATGTTGAGACTATATATATATATATATAATAAGTATAAAGAGATTACCTCAAAATTATCGTATATGGCGTAGAGACCGGTCCCGCTTCCCGCGTCCGGGACAGACAAGTAAGATACCATGTAAAGACGGTCTGCCCATGGCATCAATGCCCCTGTCCCGCTCTCGGACCGCCCAGGTCCACTGCTCGCCACAGCGGCCAGACTTGGAAAAATTCCATTAACCTGAAGTGGGATCCCTGTGCCGCCGGAAGTTCCTGGTGGATTTTTTCTCTTCGTCTGCTCGTCCTCCGTCACACACTGCCTGCTGATGGCTTGATGCAGAGGCGCGTATACACAGTTGGCCTTTTTGCGCCATTTGATGGACTCTGTTGCGGAGTTCGTTACTTTTTGTGGGTTGTACCTCTTCTCCTTGTTTATTTTTGTGATCACATTGCGAGAACCGGATCGCGTGTTGACCCACGAAGCCTGGTCATCGCCATTTTGACCCTTAACTACATATTGACCGGCAACGCTAAATGTGAGAAGAAATAACAGTACACTGCTGAAAATCAGGTATCCTGGATGAATAGACTTGACACCGCTCATGATGTACGATAATATGTGACTGGAACACCAAGGTCTACATCCTTTTTACAACACATTGATGAAAACAAACACCAGCTGACGGGGGTTTAAAAACCAGCACAGGACTAATCGTTGTTTTGGTTCAGATAATAAGTGTGCGTTCAGGCTGAGCTTTGTGTTAATTGAATTATGTCAGCCACTGACCCAAGCGAGATTTCAATGCTATCGCTCGATTGTGATGACTAGGTCGCTATCGCTTAGGAATAGTAAGCCAGATTGTGATACGAGGGGGTCAAGTGGATTCATCCGAAGCTTTGATTTAAGAGGGAGTGAAACGCTAGCCCGGCGCACTTTGACCTTTTACTACATATATACATTCTAAATTAGTTAAAACCAGGAGGCGGTGTTGTAACTGAGGCTTGGGATGGGGTGTGTCAATGTCCATGTAACTTTGTTAGATACTGGGTGAGACTGGGGTGCTAGAGATAAAGTTGATAGTAAGTTTATAGGCCTATACGGCCCGGGGGAGATCGGAAGGAGCTCAGCTGGTTCGCAATTTCTTACAAATGCGGAGGTTTTTTTTCGTGAAGGGGCAGAAAATATATTGGCGCGCCCGGGGTGGCGCTAACCGAAGAATCCGAGGTTGCATTTTAAGGGGCTGTGGGCAAAAAGGATTGTATGAAAAGAGAGGCCAAAGAGAAGCAATTGGCTTTTAAGTTATGACAATCTACAACACATGTTTTTCAATGTGTTCATCAACATTATTACTTCATACAGTAGGACACACGTTTAGTTTCGAAGTTTTACATTTCTCTATGTAATTCCTTAAAAAATTAGAATTCCATTTCCTTCCTTCTAATTCTAATATGCATTGCTCCTTTAGTAGGGGGGGGGGAGGAGGGGGCGAGACTTAGTAAAAAAAATGTTTACATGGTGTGAGACAGTAAACTATTCTCAGGGGCAGGAGTATATATAAAAGGTTGGGAAAATATTCCTCTATATTCTTGAAGCTATACCAGCGTTAGTGACGGACTTTCTAATCCTGCTACTAAACAGCGCCTACTCTTGCTCTCCGATGTAGTGTACAATGATGCAAACACACACACAAAATATGGGCAGTTTAATTACTTTATTTTTCCACATCACAACTTTTGGCCATTTTATAGTAGGGCGGCCTCCCCTCCCCCCCCCCCTTTGCCGCCGCAGGAGTTAAAGGGCCCACGTGATGGCTCTGCGCTGCCTCCCCCCTCCAACTCCCGTGAGATAGGAGATGTCCCATTCAAAAATCTAGGGCCAGTAAACTCGTGGCTTAGTTACATTTCCCATTAAGCTCTTTAATCTGAGATTCACAGGCTGTCGTGCATAAAAAAGGCAACTGGCTATCTGTCCCGCGTCATGTTTCCTCTGTCTTGCGTTACGACAGGGTCGGAAAAATGTTTAAGACAAGGGTCGGAATGATGATCTCGTCATGGTCGATGGGTCGTAAGGAGAGTTTCAAAAATCCAGGTGGCCTTTAATGTGAATGATCGAAATATCTCACCCATTTATTTTCTGCACCCTCTTCCTAATATGCTACTGTCAACATATCATTGGATTGGAGCCCATAAACTTCAAAACCAAAAAAAATTCTTTTGGAAGATTTTAAACAATTTTTGTTGCACTAATACTTCCATTACCGTATCAGAAAACCCCGCATTGTGAAACTGCAGACTCGAATCAGAAAGCATAGGTTGCAAAACTCGTGTGTGAATAGACCTGCTGCTTCTTGGGTGAAATTCTCACAGGATGGAACATATTCTAAGCACGTATCCTTAAAGAACCTGCGGTCTTCAACACAGTCCTTACTGAGAGTTCCCAGTGTGGATGGACACAGTGTGGTCTTCAACACAGTCCTTACTGAGAGTTCCCAGTGTGGATGGACACAGTGCGGTCTTCAACACAGTCCTTACTGAGAGTTCCCAGTGTGGATGGACACAGTGCGGTCTTCAACACAGTCCTTACTGAGAGTTCCCAGTGTGGATGGACGCAGTACGGTCTTCAACACAATCCTTACTGAGATTTCCCAGTGTGGATGGACACAAAAAAAAAAGTCATACGGAGTGCGCTCTTTTGAAGCGATAGCGCTAAAATTTTGGCACAGTTTGCCCCAGTCTTTGAGGGGAATTGAAAATGATAAAAAGTCATTTAAGAAACAGTTAAAGACTTTTTTTTAAATTTAAATAGATTTAAGAACACCATAGCGATGTGAGCATAGATACAAGCGCTATATACATATTCAGTTCAATTCAACTGGGGTGCGATAATGTTATTTTTGTTTGCCGCAATACCTCCACAGCAGGTTACGACTACGCGTGTCAGAGGCGAGCTTGGTTTGGCCTTGCCGTCAGACATTCAAGTCGTGAAAGTTGTTGGTGAGATACGCAAAGCAGCTCGAGATTTGAAAGTAACGATAAAGAGAATGTCACGTCATTCGCGAGAACCTCACCTCAACTGAGCCGCCTGGCAGAAGTGTGGTAGGACAAGTTGGTTTATTCCCCTTTTAGTTCCGTCGAAACACTGACGAATAATTTAGGACTTTGGAATAGGAACTAATGATGCAAACTGATGTAACCAAAGTTTCCATGACACATGATAAAGATAAACCTTTCCCCTTGATGAATAGGACAATGCAGAGCCATAGACTTGGAATAGTAAATTGAACATACTTGTAGGCCTACATTCGACCAGCTAAACCAGGGGTGGGCAACTGATATTATGCGGCCCTCAAAGGCATTTAGAAATTAAAGATTTTTTATCAAATTTCTTTCTAATTTTCTTCTTTTTTTTTTTTAACAGTCCTTGACTTTTGTCATGTATTGCTAAAATGCGAATTTACCGATTTTAATATAGAGAAATGTTTATCAATATGTAAAAATTGGAAATAATATACATGCTGCCCCCCCCCCCCCCCCAATAGATTTACATTTGTCAATGTGGCCCTCGGCACAAAAAGTTTGCCCACCCCTGTACTAAACCTTTTCTTTTACTTCCCCTGTTTTTACCCCCATCTGCTCTGAGACGTACTTCAAGTTGTACTCAGCAATGGATTTGTTCTACTTTTATTTAAGTGCCATCCTGTTGTTATTCCATATATATACCAGTATGTACCACGTAAAGTAAAGACGCTAATTCTACCGTTATACTTAAAATTCTCAATTGACCCCAGGGCCTGGATAAACTAATGTCCATGGCCAGGACTGGCCCGCGAGTAGTAGTATCATACTTAGTATGTGGACCCTGCTCTACTTTATGACCATCAGCTTCTATAGTTTCAATAAATTATATTAAAAAAAAAAATAATAAAACTACCAGCAGTATTATGACTAAAAAAAGAGGTGAAATACACAAAACTCCTTGAATGAATCCTGCACAAAACGAAATAAAACACATTACAAAATTAATCACCATAACCCATGTTTCAATTTTTTCCTCATATCCCGAGATCATTTATTTCAGCATAAACAAATGTCATACAAATCCTGTCACATTAAATACTGGCTTGATACAGTTACAATTTTAATCCCAACTCTAACTTGTTCAACATGTCACAGACCAGTTTTTCTGTTCTTACTGTATGACATTTGATCTGACCTTGGCGAAGATTTTCCCGGATGCCCTGCAATATAATTATGTAAACATACATTAATATTTTTTAATGTATCAAAGCTCGTGACAAAAATTGAAAAAGATTTTTCATTAAAAACTTTTAAAATGGGTAATGCTGATGAAACATGTGCAGCTAGCTGTCAAAAAATGATTGCTAATTACCGTATTTATTGGCGTATAACACACTTTTTCTCCCTGAAAATAGGGGGCAAATGATGTGTGCGTTTTAAACGCCGATATAATCTTTGTTTTTTTTTCCTGAAATTTCCTTCTTAAATTGAGGTGCGTGTTATACATGGGGGCGTGTTATACGCCGATAAATACGGTAGTTATAAACTATTCTGTGTTAAAACACAGTTGCTTTTCTCCGCGAGCGCGTACATCGTCATCAACTATTAAACTATAATACGCAGTTTCATAATTATCTAAGCACGAGGTTTAAGTTTAGAGCTCATTGTTTTAACTTTTTTTTTCTATGTGAAGGATATTTCAGAAATGCGGGCACAAAATATCAAACCTTTAAACATCATTTCTATAGGGCGAAAATGAACCTACCTCCATGGTGGAAATAATTTTCTGTATTTCATCTTTGGACTTTGGCAAAAGCTGATTACTTTTTTCTGGAGGAATCTGAACGAGTATAGTGAAATAACAGGTGTTAACATGGTTTAGTTAGAAATACAGACAAATGCAAACTTGGACTACAGCATGATAACAATCACCACAAGCTACGGGGGAGCATTTCCTAGTGTCAAAAAATGTGTGTAAAATATATTTAACTTTTTCTTTGAAGTCTCTATATCTTAAAATTTGATTTTGGTTCTTTTTACAAAAAAAAACATTTGTTGTCATACTTTAAAAATATTACTTATATAATATTATGACTGAGCGAGAAATACATTTTATAATCTTAAGACTTTAAATTGTAAAAAAATATTACAAACATTTACAAACCCCAAAATTCTAAAGGATGGTAAAATAGTTCCCAAATATATTCTATAAGAATCCGCTATTGCATATGAGATAGACTATACTTAAAAATAATGACTTAAAATTAAATAATATTGCTATGGCTCATGTAATGAATGATTGTCAGAGAATAAATGTGAACTATGTAGGTGTTATATTATATGTTTGAGACTTGAGGTTGTAAATTATTTTATTATCCTTTCCTTTTTTTTTTTATTCAGATAATTTCTATTTAACTATTACATTGTAAAACATGTAAAACTAAAATATGTGTTCTCCATTTCTCCATCGCGGATTAAAATGTGTAGACTGGACTGACATTTTTTTAAAAATCTCTAAGGTTCAATATTCAAGTTGAAATAAATTACAAACAAATCTGTCTGAATATTTTATTTTGTTACCTGCATCCTTTCTTTTATAGCAAGTCTCATGTCACTGATTATAATGACATCATGACTTCGAAGTGTTATGACAAACTTTTCAACAGTTACTTTTCCTGGATTCCTCTCTCCTGGACCAGTTTGGGGTTCTAACACTGTCATTAACACAGAAACACCTGATGGCCCCACAAACTGACAGGAGCAGTGGTGAGTGTCAGCAACCAGCACATCTTGGTCTTCTGCGATTAAAAACTTGAGAACATCTAGTGGAGAGCTCAAATTGTGTTCCTGTGCTAAATTTTAAAATGGAAAATTTAAATATATTGGTTTGTTAGAATTGAAACTCCATGGTTTGGTAACATCAAAAATAATAATTTTGCTTAAAAATGGAATGGTAATATCTAAAACAATTGAAGATGACTTTGTGGCAAAATTAATTAGACCATGATGCCATGTTTATATAGCAGAGTATTAATCCATTATTGCAAGGTTTCAGAGAAGTATCCTGCAAATTAAATGTGTTTTAAAAATCACTCACCAATGATTCCAAAACTAATGCACAAGATTCAAAATTAGCAGTGTATTCAGGAAAATAAAACTTACCAGCAACAGATGTTACAGGAAGCGAAACAGTAAGACTTTGCGGCTGCTCCAAAGGTGGGTGGGTTTCAGCCCCAGGCTTGACCCGGGACTGAGCCAACAGGTTGATTTCTCTGAGCAGGTGAAAATCACTTGACTGGTACAAGTTTGATTTACCTGGACAATCCTTGTCATTCTCCTCATCATTCATTTTGTGAAGGAAGTTTAGGACATCAAAGTTATTGCTGTGCAGCTCCACAATGTGACACTTCTGAAACATCTCTCCTGATACTGATACACATTCTGTTATGATTTTGTTCCCAAAATTCAAAACTAAACTCACTGAAACCTGAAATGCTGGGTTGGTATGACCTCTAATAATACTTTTAAGTGGAATATGAAAAACTAAATGAGATTTTGATCTAAGACCCTTTGCTAAAGGAAAGGTGTTTGTCCGTGTCAATCTGTTGGAGCCTGTTTGAGCATGACAGTTAGACTGAATGTCCTTTAGTGTGATGACCACGCTCCAATCACTGGACACGCAAACTGTGCTTTTGTTCTCAAGCTCCACTTTGAGCTGCCATTCTTGTAAGTAGCCATTCTTAAAAGAGGACACGCTACACCTGCATTCAATCATAGATGCAGCAGGGCTAATGAATGTTGAGAAGTCGACAGTGCCGGGCTGTAAGTGTTTAGCTACCTCAGTGGCCAGCTGCAAACTTGTGAAAATGTTCATTTGCAGCATGAAGGCATCCAGCCGCTCTGACTTTTCTTTGGCAGCTCTCAGCTTCTCAGAGCAGGCATCTATGCTCTTAAGTATTCCCGAGAAGCTGTCAGTGTTTGATCCATCTGTGTGCAATACAGAGTCAGATGTGCAAACAGGAATCTGAGTGGCCTCAAAGTTAGATGTAATTCCAGTAATAAATTCACCTATGGAAACAAGGAATATTTTTGTATTCAATGCAGCTAACACTGATGAGTTAAAATTTAAAGAGAATGTTTAATAAGTATCAACCAGTGAGCAATGCGGGGGCCTGAAGAGAGTTTGAAAAGATTGTAACACAGTCCAACATAAACAATCATTATTCCCTCACACAATAATCGCTTGGAACAAGCTAGACAATGCCGCCGTGGACTCGACGTCAATCAAGAGCTTTAAGGCTGCCCTGGCATCCGCTAGAAGCCGTTAGGATAGCAGCATCACTTCCCCAACCGTTGCAGATATGCCAATACATGGATTTAGCAATGCACCCTGCCAGAACCAGAACAGAACAGATTGGAGATAGGGAGGTTAGGAAAGAGTTCGTAAATGAACTAAGCTCCACTGGGACTACTGGGATATGACAAGGCCAAAAAATAAAAATAATGATAAAGATATGGAAATATTGTTGAAAAATAAGGATTTCAAATATTTTAATAGAATGTTTAAGGCAACTGATTATTTTTCAAGTTTCCTTTATACACTTTTATAAAATTCAACACAAAAACTTGAATTTAAACATTTCTTTTACCAATTTTGATTATCAAGCAGGTTTTAATCATTGATAATCAAAATTGGTAAAAGATTAAAAACTGCTTTTTAAACAAATATTCCTAACAGCTACAAGCCAACGCTTTTTAGAAATAATTATTTGTCTAACACATGAGTTTTACTGCGGTAACAGTTTAAAGGCACAAAGTAAAACCAAATAGGGTGAGGCATTACTAATGAAAGATCAAAGATTCTTTGTTATCAATTTTTGCCTCATACTCATATATATCCTAAACAGAGTTGGAGTTATTGATTTTATTACAGTTTACAGTACTTGATTTCTGAAAAATAAAAAAATAATTAATAAATAGAACCCCTACAATTCCTCCCCACAACTTAACACCAAAATTTTCTTTAGCAGTTAACAAGAAACAAAATACGAACCAAGATTTCTTTGAAATAAATAAGGAGCTTATTTAAATGAGTTAGTGTGAGATTCAATTACACTTTACCATTGGGATCTTTCCTGTCATAGGCAATTAACTTTAGAATTTTTGCACACTTTAAAAGAGTCCTGAAGACTGGTTTTACTGAAACTGACCCTCTGCCTTGCTCATTAGTCAGCTTGACTTCACATGCCTCAACACATTTGCCTGTACTGTAAATCAAGAGGTTATCATGGACAAGACAGGATACTGTTGGCTGAGCAATGGAAAACATTAATATAAATGGAGCCTGACTGTTGCGATTTGGTGGTAGACAAAGACAACATTCACCTAAAGAGAGAACAAAGATATTGTTATTAGATATTATTATTATAGGAGCCAAAATGATCAATAAATTGATCGTGGGCCCTTAATCTATAGAAGAAGAAGATCAAGGGACTTCTTCAATCAAGCTGAAAATAACATTTAAACACGAAATAGGATGAACGTTTTTCAATATTTATTTTTTTGTAAGCAATGCATCAATAAAGCAAAGTTCTTTTTTTAACTCTGGCTATTAGCATTATCCCATTCATTTGACTTTTAATTATCACCTTTAATTAAGTTATCAAAACTTGTCTTAATTTTAATAATATGAGACAGTAAACTTTATAAATAAATTTTAAATCAATTTAATAAGGAAGTAAAACCTTAATTTATAAACCTACTTAATATAAAATTAAACCATTAAAATGTAAGAGATAACTGAATACAATTAATCGTTATTTAATTTAATCATGCTTAAAAAGTAGTAAAATATAATTGTACCTGAAGCACTGCAAAACAGGAGACCCCGCCCAGAGTCTTTGATATTTCTGTGCTGTGGCTCAAAGTTTTGTAAGGCGCTAGCTAGTGCAGACACAACATCCTGGTTTAGGTCAGTACTAGATTCTGGCCAAGTGACCGAAACTGAAAACACCCCAACAATGTCTGAGTTCAACTGACAGGTTATTGCAAGTCTTGATTGGGAACATGATTTTGTTGATTTCAGGGCATATGAATAAACTAGGCCATTGTTGCAGCAAAGAAGTAGAACAGGTGAATTGAGGATGCAAGCTTCACGGCCAAATAAAGATATAAACAGTGTCTTTGGTACACTCATCAAATCTGGTGTTGATGAAGTTTGTGAAAGTGGAGCTGATGTAGTAGATTCCAAATCTTGCTGTGTCACGATGTAGAGTATCTTTTTTTTCTTTAAAATGTTTTCTTTGAAACAAATAGTAATATTGACATAAGGTTATTTATTTGTAAAAAATGCACATAAAAATATTCTAAAACTGTTAAAATAGATAACAAAAAATGCACATTAAGATAAGACTTAGACATACTATTTACATTGTGAATTTTTTCTCAAACATACTTTTAGTAATCTGTGCATATCATGAAATATGGATGCCTCTGACAGATTGAAGTTTATTTTGACATTCCCAACAATAAATGTTACAATTTTTTTTCTGAATTATTCATTTAAATTTCCTCTGATGAGTTTAATTTAATGTGTGAAAATAATTACCAGGAAAAATGTCTGCTTTTAAACCTGTAGGTACATCTTGCAATATTTGAACCATTTGTCTGCCCTTTTGTTTTACATCTACCTTGTTTTCTAACTTTAAAAGTAAAAGTCTGATTGTGTCTGCATCTCTTATAATCAATGTCAGCACATCATTAAACGCATTTAAGTCGAGAATAGAACTTTCTGATTCGAATATCAAATTCTCGTCCTTAATGGCAATGTTTCTTGTATTTGAATGTACTGAGTAATGGAGATTGGTGTTAGAAGAATCATTCATTTTAGCCTTCTTAGATTTTGGCTCGCTGAGAAGTTCCCCAAAAATATCATCAACCTCCATTTCATTTGCTTTACTTGGTGCCTCATCTTGCTTTTTGACTTCTTTTGTTTTGCTTCAAAGAAAAAAGGTAAATGAAAGAAAGTTATGATTTTTAGAACCCAAATAATAAATCAATTTAACATATTTAACAAAAAGCTACTCAGACTGTCCGGAGTATTAATTAATGTTATCTGAACAAACCTGATTGATTTTTGGCTGTCTGTGACTATCTGAACTCGCCAGAGCTTGTTATTTATTGTGGTTATGTATGCACAGGTGCTGACATTGTTTCTTTCTGTAGACAAGGCCACAGCTGTCACTAAACATGGGGCTTCAAAGATAACCTTATAGAAAAATTTAAATGCATGTCAGATTAATTTGCTGAACATCACAGTTTTCTAAAAGAGCATAGTTAAGATCAATGCTAAATCAAATGTATAGTTTTTGTATTTTAATTTATTTTTTAAATTGTTAACAAAAAGGGCAATAGAATTTTAGGAGATTAAGATTTCCATTATCGATGTCATATCAATTTCTAGTGCGTCATAATTATTATAATGTTTATATGTAACATTTCAATATTTATTTTAAATTATAAGGTCATAATACTTATATTAGCCCCATACAGTGCATTTGTGGTGAAAGATGATACAGCTTAAAATGAATAACCAAAAAAAAAAAAAACAGAAAAAAAACCCAGAAAAAACAAAAACCTACTCACTGAGGAATATGTGTTAATTTCTAGTATATGCACAAATGAGCCTGCAATAGCTAAAATTGCATATGGATGTGAGGTGTCTAACGTCATGACAAAACTTAAAACAGGGGTGCCTTGTAAAAGCCTTGTTACTTTTTTTATCAAAGCTTTACTTTATTGTTTTACCTGTAAATAAAATGCAAATATCCTAACTTAATAAGGTTCAATCTGAACATAATGTCATGCTATAATTCATGCACTAAGAAGATTTCTTAAAAACGATTAAAAAAAAATAATTAAAACCAAGATTGAATCCATTTAAATTTGTTAAAATAATTATTTTAATTTGTAAATATATGTAATCTTTACTGTGAAAATATATTTATTCTAAATTGTAAATAAATTAAATATAATAATTAAAGATTATTTTAAGAGTGTGTCTGAATGTGTGAGTTAAAATATTTTTATAAAATTTTGACTGCAAAAATATGGAACCCAAATTTCTGGTTTTCGCCAAGTGTCTAATAATACTAATAAATTTTGATTGACATAGTAATAGTAATATTATCTTTACTATTTTTAATTTGAAAACAAATTAAATTTTAAAATTATAGTAGTTTAAATATTAACTTCATTGTGAGAGTGCATTTTGCATAAAAGATTTTCTTTGATTTCATTACTGTTCCATTTTTCAAAATACGCAGTTCCAGAGTGGGCATATTTTTATGTGGATAACAATATATAAAAACTCAATAATTTGATAGGAGTGAAAATTTAATATTTAAAAATTAGATATAGGCATATATATTTTTTTTATTTCCCAATAATACAGTTCAGGGGTGTGAACAAATATTGGTTCAGATTCTCTTTTAATTATGACAATTATGTCCTTATATTTTGATAATAATATGTCCTAAATGTGTTTAGGGGCATGGGAAATTTTTATGCAATTGAGAATAGATCTAACACTACATAAGAATTTAAGACATAAAATTAGATAAGGGATTCGTCTTTAAATATTAGACAAAATTTTTTTTTATGATTTCCCGATAATATAAACAATATAGTTTTAAAAAAGGCAGAGCTTGGGTAATTTTTAATGAAAATACCACTTTATCAAAAACTGTTAATATACAGTAGGCACTTTGGTATTGCCTGGAAACACCCGAAAATCGGGTATGGTAGTTTCATTGTCAAAATTGTGACCTCCACTTTTTAATTTACCTAGGTTATCATTGTTTTGCCTTTTATAGTCAATTTTTAGCATAATAATAAATTCCACATCCGCCAATTACTTGCTTGTTCTTTTGAGAATTCATTTGATTATTTTTTCTAGGTTAAAGTTAAAGCTTTGAAAATTAAGTTGATAATAGGTAAACTTTACTCAATTACTTTTTTTAAAAACTGGTCCAATTAAAAAAAAAAAGGGTTTCTTTAATTTATAACATCATTTATAACATATCCAAAATTCATGAGTGTAGACTGTACGCTGCAGTAAAAAATTTAAATCAAAGAGGTCACTTTTTATGCTATCATGGCAACTATGCCTGTCTTCATATCACCTATTATCCTTAGCGGCCATGGGGTAGTTAATTCTGATAGACTACGTTGCTGCAATCAAGTACACTGGCATATGTGCAATGTTTTGTGAAACAATTCAATAATTCATAATTGGGAAATTTAACTAATATTTAATCATTTTAAACAGATAAAAAATGTATTATTAAAAAAATAATTATTATTGGCTTATCAAATATCAGAGGTTTCATTTTGATGTTGGCAACTAATGTTGGTTGTCATGGACATGATGCGATTGATAACCACTATTCTTTGACTTAGATAAGCCTGATAAAAGTATTATAATAGTAATAATACTATTATTAAATGATTTGGGGAGTGGGATAAATAGCCTTTCCTTTATTACAACTAAAATTTATTTAAATATTTATATATAAAATGGTACCGATATTTAAAATGGTACATGTTTTTTTTTTAAAGTTGAGGATATGTTATTATAATTTTTAGAAAATATGTTTTCTTTGTAGTTGACAGGTGTAAAAATTGGTTTATTATATTATATAGAAGAAAAAAGTTCACAAACTCAAACCTCAAAAACCAATCAATATGGCAATGGTCTTTGGTGTCAAAATCAAATATCTAACTCTAACTCTATACATTTACATAGACTATTCATAGAAACTTATTTAAAAATAATGAAAGTCCCAATTACTATCAAGGGCTTTGAAAATTATTATTCTTATTTATTTATTTGCCAAGGATACAGTACACTCAAACACTGTACTGACTGTATCCTTGGCAAATAATAATAATAATATTGTCAATATTGTACACCAAACTTAATCATTAATCCAGTTTCATTTCATACTCATACTTTTACTATGATTTACAAAGTTAAATTTTTAGATGTTGCAACTTGGCAAGATCGAGAACAGGTGAAAAGTAGTGCAACTATATAAATAATATACATTTTAATATACATTCAAATTCAATTTATATAATTATATTATTAAATTATGATTATTATTAATAATATAATTTATCCTGGCACTATTAATATTAAGACTATTATGTTTGAAATGAATAAAAGCAAATGAATTTTTATTATTTATAATAAGGCCAATGCCTATAAAAAATTATAAATAAAATATTCTTACTACTGGAATACTACTATTACTATTACTACACAGTAGTAGTACAGTTACAGTGCACTACTTAATTTAACGCTGCACAGCTGGAGTAGTGTAGAGTAGAGAAATGTTGCATGAAAAAATAGATGAAGTTGAGTTGGCAACTTGAGGAGAATTGTTGACATGGGACATGGTCATGGACATGATTATGATTGTTGATTGTTGTCATGAGTTTTTTTGCAAAGTTGATATTGATTCGAGTCCTTAACTTTAACTTAAAGTTTAACTTAATTTCATTAATGCATAGGCCTTACTAGCCTTACTAATAAAAGGCAAAAAAAAATTGTTTTTTAAATTTAAATATATAAATTTATAATTATTAGACAGAAAAATTTCTTTAACGTATATCGGATAGGTAACAAGAGAAGTAGAATCATTGAGACCACATACAATCCAGCAGACAATAAACTTTCAACATTCAATGATAAAATGTGTTCATAGTTCAAAGGTTAGGGAAGAATCTTTCCTGGTAATTTTGTCACCCGGAAAAGGCTTCAATTACATGCCAGAAAATAAACAATAAGGTTATTCCAATTATTGTTAACACATGATATTTACAGAGAAAATAAATGTTATAATAATTATAATTCATATATAACATGACGACATTTCAATTTAGGGACCCCTAATTTATATAGGAGTATTGAAAGCAAATAATTGAAAGAGTTTATTTGAAATATATTGTTTTGTTTTTTTAAATCTCAAAATTAGTATTTAACCTTGTTTGTCATATTCTATCTGGAAAGGGAATTAAAGTCTCCACATCAACCGGAAGTGGCTACTTGGCACTTGTTATTTATTTGTAGTGTCGTGAAAAGTAAAACCTGAAACTAAAAGGTATTTAGTGGTATAAACATATTTCATTTTCCTAACTTTGGTAATTTGAGTATCAGTGTCTAATATTGACTTAGAGTTGGTTTGCAATTTATAGTTCTAATTTCAGATTTTGAGATAAGAACCGACGTTGCTAAGCCGGCTCTACGACTACGTACGACGATAGGCATTACAGAGACAGAGTGTCGTGTATTATTTTATTACTAGAGCTCTAATTTTACTCTACGCCTACATTTTTTAAGACTTAATTAATTAGATATTAATCTAACCAATAACCAGGTCTGTCTATATGATAACTCTATAGTTTACTGTCTCATATTATTAAAATTAAGACAAGTTTTGATAATTAATTAACGCCAGTCCCCAAGGCCAAGGACTAGCTTTTTTTTTTTTTTTTAGAAACTAAATACTAAATTAGCTTCAATTCATATTAATCATAGTCAGTGCAGGTAAATATTAAATTTGGATGGCCTAGACTTAAGCCTACTAACTTACCC